GTAACAGGTAGTTTGGCGACATTTTGGGTAAGGCGATAAAGGTTACTAGCTAGGACTTTTAGCAATAATCTGAGAAGTACACAGTTCGAATCACAGATTATTTTGTCTCAGAGAAAAGAGATCATGAGACATGTAATGTGACATTTTCCGGAAAATTACAATCAGGATTTTAGCTAATAAGCACTTAGAAACAATTTCGCTGCTAAAGTGCAGAATCGCCCACTTATTTGGCGCTTTTTACAAGAGTAAGAATTGGATTTTTGTCAATTTTCTTTGACTTTTTAAGTGAAAATAGGTCGATATGTGCATGGATAAAGTCAAAAGTGTGTGCAATGACATTTTTATGCAATTCTGAGATTTTTTTTAAGTGAAAATAGGTCGACGTGTACATGGATACCGTGTATATGCAATTTTCTTAAAAACGCGGCAAGCAGTGGGCGATTCTACACTTTCTCCCAATTTCGCACCTAATCTTCGTCATGATTAAGCACTTTTGTTCCATAAAAGTTCTAGCATAAGCGTAATTCGGCTAGCAGATTGTTGTAAATAAATGTTTAAATAAAAACATGCCTTTACTTCGTGAAAACAAAATGGTGTCCAAAAACAAAAACTAGCAGGTTGCTGTAACAGGGTTGGTCGTCAAAGTTTCGCCAAAAAATCGCCAAGTTACCATAATGTAAAGATTCACCTCATTCGGAACTCTAGTTATGAACACTTTCTGGCTCGACCGCAATTTCTGCCCTAGATCATGTGACCCGATAGCTGTGTCTTCACATTAATTGTAAGCTTTCAACCTGAGTAGTACATAGATATGTAAGTAATTTTACTATTTTGTGCAAAGATACAGAAAAATTTGTTAAAATATTTAAACATTTTTTCGTGTGAATAACCGAGTAGCATTCCATTTGCACATTAGAGAAATTGAAGATTATACATTAGAATAATTCGCACTAGTTTTAACATCTGATTACGCTAATTTATAATTTATCCGATTACAGTATCTGTAAGGCATGGCTATAATAGTACAACTTAACTAATGCAACAGTAATTATAGCAATAGAAATGCAAATTATAGTAAATTAATGCAATAGTAACTTTTGCGATGGCAAGTAATTAAAAATTATTCAAATATGCAACTGCCGTAGTACACCGTCCTAAATATCGGATTACACATTAGTATTTTACGAGTCGGTAGGAACTAAACTTTCAGTGTACCATTTGAAAATTAAAAAACAATATATAGAATTACTAGATCAAACATCTATCCTAACCAAAGTTATAAACATTTTATAACTAATAAACAAAATGCCACAATTTTCCTGCTTTTACCATACAGTCGAGTAGGGAAAAATAGTTAAAAGTTCCAAAAATGCTGTCCATTTTTGTTATAATAGTGTTCGACGGTAACTGACTAAGAACCACGCAAACTATTTAAAATAAATTTTAAACGGTTTCCGTGAATAATTTTGTTTGAATAATTTTTTGGCTACATAAAAATACATTTGGCAAAGATTGACAATTAACCAACTTGAATAGTATCGCGATTACTGAAGCCATCGGCAATTTCTTTGGTTTTAGGTTCAAATCCTGGACAAAGCAGGAATTTAAAAAAGCCAGTTGCCGTATCATTGGGCCGGGTTTTGTATGCCGGAGAAGGCGCGGATTGCTTATACTATATTACAACTGCTTATACTCTTTACTGGGAGTGTAATCCAGCGCCTCCTAAAATTTTCTCTGTGGCAACACAGCCCAGCCGGGAAAGTGGTTAGTCTTTTGGTTTATTAGTCTTTTGGTTTATGCATCCAGGGCTATCTGCCTAAGAGGAAGGACGCCTTCGTAGAGGACTTTCTAAGGGACACTGGCTCGTATACAGGTTACATATGCAGTCAGCCCGTTCGCGGGATTCGAACCGCGGACCGAACTACCAGTGTTCAGCGTCTTTAACGCTCGGCCTCTGGAATGCATGTAAATTGTCTGTCCCTTCATAGGAGGCCACCTGTCAAGTGCCTATATAATAAAATGACCACCCCTTCTGGCCTTAGTAGTGACCAAAGCCTAAAAAGGCTAAGCCATAAAAAAAATTATATGGAAGCTAACAAATGACTGACGGACCTTTTTGTATTCCTAAATACCGTAACGAGCAAAAAATTGCAAAATTATAAGCTTATGTCATTATCTTTTAATGTTAATTACATTAGAAAGCAATTTCAGTGAAGCGTTATGAAAGAATTAAGGGCAGATACAAGAGTTAGATTACATTTGTAAGCTTCCAGTAAACACGGGCTTATAAGCAGATTAATTTTTAAGGAAAATAAAATGTAACCCGTGGGTTAATGACTGAGTAAGTACCGCAAAACATTTAACTCAGCACTCAACTCCACTATTCATAGATAACTTACCCTCAGATTGTTAATTTATGGTTTCACATGAATTTGCGATAGTTCTGTGTAAAATACGAAGTAATGAACACAATCTTGACGACTAAATTGTTTTATATGCCTACAAATTTTACTGTTTATATAAATTTGCGAATTTAACTTATCCACGCTAGATTTTTGCTTATATGAAGCGAACCTGCCGTATTCCAATTACCCCTTAACATGATTTATGAAAGACCATGCATAAACTGAAATATGAGATCACTAATAGCACAGAAATCTACTTAAACAGGTGGAATTAAGGAGATGTTACTCTGATATCAAATACGAAAAACTTCATAAAGTTCTGCAAGTTAGAGAAATGTCTGCTTCAAAAAAAAAAAAAAAAAATAAATAAATAAAAAAAAAAAATAAAATACATTAAAATATTTGGGACAGAAGCTTCGTGGAGCTCAGAGTAACTAATATTTAAGTCAGTACGTAGAAATTTCTTAAATGTGTAGTCGTTGATCAGTTGTTTCATTGATTATGACATCTGCTTTAGCAAGGCTGCTTTCTTTGATAACAAAGGAAAAAGTGGCACGAATTTCCTTTTAACAAAAACTCTTAACCGGAGATGGGATGAACCACCAGTACTCCGCTGTCTTGATCGACGAGTCTCTGATGGGCTCTTAACATTAAAACGTTAAAATACGTAAATACGTAAAATGCGTTAACTATTATTTTGAAAGAGATTCATTAAGAAAGAATTTCATTACTAAGCTTGGCATGAATTAAATTCATCGAAGAACAAAGTCAAGAAAACCTCCATCATACTTTAGTTTTCGAAAGTAGCTACGCAGTTACTTCGTATGCTTTAAATCTAAAGAGATTCAGTGTCAAGATAGAATTCATTAGCTTACGTTCAAACCACACTAAGGCTATCTGCCTAAGGCAAGGAATGCCTTCATGGTTCATTAGTTTTTAAGAGAAAGTAGTTTGTATTCTTATTACACATGGAGAGAAATTACCTTGGCTCAGCTATTTTATAAGTTTGATAGCTGGCGAACATGATTCTGTGTTAGGTTTGGTTATTTGAACATAGTATACAATGCATACAAGAGTTATCTACCTAGGAGTGAGAACGCGTTTATGGGGGGGCTTTCTAAGAAATGGCTATATCCGTGCTATACATAGGGGAAATAATTAAACCCAATCATGCTGCCAACACGTTCGCCAGCGATCTAAACCACTTAGCAAGGGTGATGCAACTCTGCATTAATTTTTGATATGTTATTCTCTAAGCTTCATTTTAATACCTGAAGTAAAAATCTTTTATTAAGAGTAAATTTATCTTAAAACTAAACACTGCAAAAAATGAAAATTTTGTGACTAGCAATTTTAGTGCTCTTATATATGCCAATTGTTTTCGTGTATCTCGTACGTATAACACCGGTTGTACTTGGTAAGAGTTTGAATAAATTATAGTTTTTCTTGGCAGCGCCACAATTCGAAACTTTTTCTACAATTTGTTTTAAGCAAACTGAAAAATTCTTAATAAAATCCTGACTTGTACATGTCTTATATATTCTCCAGTTAAACACAAGAACTGAATTACAAGCAAAGTTTCGCCAAACAAATCATAATTAAAGACTTATTTTCCAAACTCAATCACATAAGAATGTAAAAAAAAATTTAGTTTTTATAGTTGTAACAGATACTTAAGTAGATTGTATTTACCTCGGTAGTAACATTAAAATTCGAATTTAATGAAAGACGTGAAATAACTTTTTCGAAGTTTACTTCATGCGCACTTGAAATTTAATATTTGAAAACTTGTCACTAATACTGATAAGGAAATCTTAAAACGGTAAAGAATAATTTATTTTCAAAAATAAAATTATTATGTTTATTTAAAACTAAGGAGGATAAACTATTGCCCTTGGAAGTAAATTTAAGAGAAGGTAATAATTAAATTCTGCATTACATTTGCCATAAAAACACTATTCTAGATATATATTTATAGCTACAGGAAACTAGAGTTTAATATTTATAGTCCTCAAGCCTTCAGTTTTTGTTTCATTTTGGTTATTTTCTGATGCTTTAAGGTTTAAAGCATGTACCAACAAGCAAAAAACAGACGATATAATTCCAGTGCACATTTGGTACAAATTTTAAGTATGAATTAAAATTACGATCAATTCACAGCAGAGACAACAAAATTGGGATTGAATAAAATAGTATTTATAAATCCAAACTTGAGGTTTATGCCGTAAAAATAACATTTTCTACAACACCATTTACATTAAAACTTTATAAAATTTTCAATAAACTTCTGCAAAATTACTTGCAGATGTTCACAAGGAAAATTTCTGTACAGCAATTAATTTCAATTTTTCAAAATATCACAAATTAATGTGTTTACAATGTCAATACAGTTATTCAGAAAAAAAAAAAAAAATACTTTAAATTTTATAATTCTCTGTTTGACAAACTGGTGTGGAACAAACATCTAGAATTAAAACTGTATTGTGAAATTTCTTCATGAATAGAATAAAACTCATTACAATGTTGCAAAGCCAATAATCGCTTAACCTTCTTGTAATCTCTACAAAAACAGCTTAATAATTGTACATCACTTACCTTGAAATGCAATAAGGAAAAGTGAAAGGAACAATAGATTATCCGTTTTGTAAAAACTTCCTCCACAAAAAGTACTTTAAGGCGCACTTTACCTTTTCCCGGCAGCGTCTGAAACTGCCATGGAAGCGTGCTATCACCTAGCCATCGAACGGTGAAATAAAACACGCAAAAGAACAGGAAGTGTGAGGGGACGAGGGAGAAATGAAGTGGAAGAAAAAAAAAGTCACTTTCTAATGTAACTCACCGTGATAGCCGACCTACAAATTCGATGCAGGAGTGAAAGAATGAATCGGCTTCTACCTCACCAGCAGAGACTAATGATAACAACACTTCTGCCTTCTTAACTGCAGAAAATCTTCCCAGGGTGTTATTTGGTCATATTAGTAAACTCAGATGGATCGTTTTACCTACCTAATTTCTTCTATTGGTGGAATTCTTGAGTACGATTTCGATTATTTTAAAATTTATTATTTTTTATGAGACAATATTGAGAGTTACTGAATTTTGTTGCTTCGGAATTATTTCTTTGGATTTGCATATTCTCCGCTACGAAAATGTTACAGTATGCCGCCGTATATTGCACTATATTTCCTATAATTTAGTAGATAATTTACAAGTTAATTTTTTGTCATCCTAATTATAAAAGCAAATGGTGCATTAAATGCAAAAAATTCAAATTCCTTGCAAATAATCTTGGAATAATATTTCGAATATTAACACATAGTTAAAAAATTAAATTAAATAATTGGCATAACCAAATACCTCGTGATTACGTCATCCCAAACATCAAATGCTTATGAATAATTATAATCCTATAAGATAATTGCTGTTTATTTTCCGCAGCAAAAATAAGCTGAAAAACATATATCTTGAGAGTCAACTTTTGTTTGGTTTTGAGATTATTATTCCATGTTACTTATTAGCTTATTATTATCATTATTGTTAATGTTTATTCTGAGGTTACTATTGCTTTTAATTTAATTTATTTTTTTAAATGAATTTATTGTGACTAGTCAATTTACGTTTACTTCTCAATTTTCATTTGCTTTTTATTATTATTGCTAAACTTGTATTTATTCTAAAATTATTATTGGCTATTGTTTGTTACCTGTTTAATAATATTATTCAGCTTATGTTTATTTTCAATTTTTTTTTTCATTTTAGCTTAATTATTATTATTACTTTCTAAAACTAAATATAACTTGATTCAAATAGTTCCCATTTTTATCTAAACCTAAGAATTACTGGAGGTTTATTTTCACATGAAATTATACGAAAGAAGAAATGCTATTTTTCAGGACGCCTAAGATATTGAAAGCTTGTTAGACGGGTTTCAAATGATTACTCTGTGTCTATGTATATAATATTAGGAACATATATTTTGAAATAGATTATATTAGTTTACTGCAGTAAACAAAAGGGGCTATGCACTTCAAATCTTTTATTAATTTTTAGCCCAAAGTTGCTATTGGCCCAGAAGAGCTATTAATTTCGTACTGGCATTTTTCGTTGGTTCACTATAAATGGCATTTCCTTTTTAAAATTGTTGCCACCAAATATTACAGCCCTGCAATTACATTTAAAGAAATTAAATAATGAAGAATCAGCACATATGTGAAAAGAACCTAGAGCCATCAAATTTTCAATAACGTCCGTTTCTACCCGAATATGGTCATCTGAGAAGCCAACATTTTGGAATTTGTTTTATTATTTATTTCGTATTTTGTAAAATTTTAACGAATTTTTGATTAACAAATTCAACGATTTCAAAGCGAGCAATGTCAATGCTGTACGGTAAAAAAAATATTTTTATTCCCAGCGCATGAGACTCTGTACCATAAAGATATGGCCTTTTTAAAATTATTTTGTGATATTGCTGTTGAATTGAATTTTATGGTTTAAAAGTGCGAAAACCATGATATTGAATAAATAATGGTAACACAAAACGTTAATAAAATTCACCTTTGTGCGTAATGTAAAATCTGACAGCTTTCCCATTTTTTATTAATCCTTTTATTTAATTTTACTATATATCTGTTGCATATAAAACATGGGAGTATGAAAATGAACTGGAGCCACATTTATGTTTAAAGAAGTTCATGTAGAACATTTCAGTAAACAGTATCTCCTTTTTCTGACTGTATGTAACATTTTATGTATGTACTTTGTATGTAACATTTTATCTCTGAATTTCCTTGAAGTCAAGTTCTGCCGATTAATGGGTATTTTTGGGAGCAGCAAACATGAGAAACTGAGTACTTCTTGCTGGAAATCACACCATGGATTTCCAATTTGATAGCTGAATATGCTAACAAATACACCCTATGGCTATGGAAGGAAGGATGAAATACATGGAAGGAATGCACAAATGTATTTTAAAATTTAAATTTAAGGTTAAGTTGGTAGGAAAACTTTGCACTCTGCTCAGTCATGCTTACTGACCATTTTCGAAGCTGCGGCATGAATAAATATTGTTAGAAATAATCATTATAATATTATACGTTATACTGGCAATAAAGAAGCAAGCAGATAAATGATATTCTTTTGCTCAATGATGTTATTTTTCTTTATACCTCTAGCATGGCTAATGATCTCAATGAGCTATCATTAATTTGAAGTTCGCATTCCTTTGCTGTACAGATGAAGGATATTATATAGTTGCGAAAATAATCAAAAAATGACTATTGCCTCTGCATCGTCTATTTACCTCAGAATAGTCGGTTTTGTCCCATGCTCACCACTACCGAATGGCAGAGCGCCCGGTAGGTACTTTCTGGGGTCTGTAACAGGCGAGCAAAGGACATTACAAATGTGTAGTTGCATTTCCATTGCTACAGGATAGAGTTGCTAAAATGAATTATAAATCTTAATTACCCCAGATATACGTAACAAACTGCCTTCTGAACAACGCTATCTGATTCGTGTATATTCTAATAATTTTTAGGGTAACGGCACAGGATTTATTTGACACTTTTCCTGCTCATGTAACTCAGCGGGGTGTAGATTGGAAAAAGGAATTGAAATTTGACCCTAGCGAAGCTCTAGCTATATTAGCAAGCTGATTGGAGTGATATTATTAAACAAAATGAATAATCTTATAGCTAAACTCCTTCATTGTGGTCATCACATCTAATCAGTACTTTCAAGAAAATCTAGACATCATAAGAAAATAATGGGTACTATTCGGTTTGAGGGCCGTAAAAATCGCCAAACTATTGTTGATGCCAATGCTGCCAAAAATAATTGCGGCAAACCTAATAATTGCGGCAAGAAAAGGAAGTATAGTAGTAAATAATTATCTAAGATTGATGTTAATTTCATATAATACTTTTTTATTTATATAAACGGTTAATTATAAAATTTTATTATTATAATTTAGAAAAACGCTAAACAGATGAATGGGAAGAGGTAATAACTATTCATCATTATTATGATTATATAAAAATGCTAACATACGAATGGATGATGCATCGCTATTTATCTACCGAACTTTAAGCATTAATTTAATATCGTGGTTTTTCAAACGTAATTTTCTATAATGAATGATCCTTTTCTTTGAAAATATTGAATCGAAATTCAGAAGTGCAGAACGCTCACTTATTGTTGCCGCTTTTACAAGGGCAAAACAATGGATTTGTCATTTTATTTACTTTTAAATGAAAATCGCTGTGTACATAGATAAAGTAAAGGGGTGGCAGTGCTTTTTGTGCACGTCTGAGATTTTTTTAAAGGAAAAGGTCGATATGTTGGTTACCGCGTAGTGCAATTTTCTTAAAAAAGCGTCAGCAGGATGATCTGCACTTTAGCCAAAATATGTTGAGACTCTTCTCATGGCCAATTCCAATTGTAATCCATAGGATATCAAAAAAGGATTTAAAATTAAACTAGTTATTTCAATGGGTCTAAGAAATATAAAAATATAAAAATTACGCAATCTGAACCAGGCGTGCTAGATTGGGCGCTGTTAAATGGGCGCGTTGCGAGATTTAGCGCTTTTGCGCTAATATTCGTGCAATTTTTACAGCCTCAAAACAGAGAGTACAATAATGCTTAAAAGTCGTAAGGCCATTTTATCGGAAAACAAGACGTCAAAAAAAGTAAAATATTTTCTAAGAATCGGCAATGCGTATAAACATCTCACACTCTTTCTAGTTAACGAAACATCTATTTCAAAAAAAAAAAAAAATTCTAATATAGGGCTCCCAAAATGCTCGTACGCTTACGAGTTAAGTGAAACTGTAATTATTAGTAAAAATAATATTTGAGAATGAGAATTTTTAAATATCTATAAGTTTTCTTGTCAAATCCATAAATTATTTATGACAGAGTAAGTAAAACGTTTTTAGGAAAATCAAAAAAAGTACAGACAAAGTACTCAGAAAGTCGTCGTACGCTTAAAGAAATCATACATATTAATAAATATTATAATCATTTATTCAATTAATATCTATAGGACATCTGCGCTTTATGACAAGCAAAGTCGGTACAAGAGTTCACCGTTTTTCTTAAAAATATTTGCATGATGTCCTCCATTCCCATATCTGTGTAGTTCGTTTTTTTTTGGTGTCTTTTCATAAATCTAGTTCTCTCCAAATACGTTCTATGGGTTTTAGCGATGACTGGGTGGTGCTTTTAGAATTTTGAACAATATAAGTACACCAAAGGCGAAGTGAGGGCATGTGCTTAGGATCGTACCTGTTAAAAATAAAAGTTTCATACCCAGATTTGGGTAATAAGTTATTATTAAATTTAAATAAAGAATTCGTTACAATAACGGGTCCGTCACTGAACCTGCGTGGAAGATGTGAAGGTCTGTACGATGCCAAGCATGATGCTCCCCAAACGAGAACACGCCACCCCTACTGTCCCTTTCAATGATGTTCGAGGGATGATTGCGGCTTCCACGTTCCCGATGAGTATGCGATGAGAATCGTTACTCAGACTGAATCTGCTCTCATCTGTAAAGAGTACTCGTCCCCATTCATTGTCTCTGCAATTCAGGTGTTCCCGGCACCACAGAGAACGCCTTCTCTAAAAATGCTAAATTTGCATTCATCTGCAAATAAAACATGGTTTTAATGCGCTTCGGGCTTATTTAACGCTGATTTTTCAAAAGAAAAAATAATCTTTCTATTTTTGTACTTAAAAAAACTTTTCTTAGAGCAGAGAGCCTATGTAATCCAGCTGATCGGAGTACTCGTCGAACAGTTTCAGGTGAAATTGAAGTAGAAAAATATTCAGTAAATTCTGTAGAAATCTTTAACGCACTCAAAGGTGAAGTTTCCACAAATCTTTTAACAACAAATTTCTGATCACTTTGAGTTAACTTTGCCGGAAGACCTCTTCTTACTTTATTTTTTTTTCTTTCAAACGTTTTATCATATATTCACCGTAGAATGGGAGAAATTTACTAATATAGCCCGGATTGAATTTCCACTCT